TGTTCCCCCAAAACTTTGATGTCCTGAAAAATCTAATTATTACTGGTAACTTTAAAAGATCACAGCAATTTATTTTTGTCAAATGTGACTAAAGATTAATGGATACAATCAGGAATAATTTGGTAAAAACATATCAAATGCAGAGAAAGCAAAATTTGTTGTTAAGTGAAGCATCAAATATAATAAAAGAGCAAATTCCATGAATGAACAGCAACAATGCACAATTCATTAACCAAATGCCCATGACTATTTCACACTTCAGAGGGCCACTGATATGATCAGAAATGGTAGTAAAAGGATAAATATAGATTAATTTCAGCATCTCTATACATTTTAATTATAAAGACTAGCCCCAGAGAGCTACCAGCATAAAAAAAGAAATATGAACTAAGGTACATCCATCCCTTTTATAAATCATTATTCCACATATATGAAATAACACAATTATTTTAAAAGACAACAATCAATATGTCAAGAGATATTAAAAGTACATAATTTTCTTAGCTTTTACTAACTGTAAAAATTAAAAATCTGGTCAACATTCCGCCTCTGGAAATTCTTCTCTCTCTAAAGTCCACATCATCACTATCATTACCCACAATCATCTGCTAATTAACTGATTAATGTCGTGATCACTACTGATTGTCCTTCACTGCCCAAAGAAAAAATGTATTTGTTCATCAAATATTAATAGGTTATAAGCTCCTTGAGGGCAAGGCCACATCTTCTTAGTCTGTATTCTCAGAGCTGACTCAGTACTTTGCTCCACTCTTGTTTTAAATAGAAAACAGAAAAAGAAAAACTGAAAACAACCTAAAGAATCATTAGTAAGAACATCCACACCCTTGTAGTGAACTTTTCAGTCATCAAAAACAATGTATAGCCCTGGCCAGTTTGACTCAGTGGTTAGAGTGTTGGCCTGTGGACTGAATGGTCACGGGTTCGATTCTGGTCAAGGGCATGTACCTGGGATGCAGACCAACCCAGGGAAAGTGGGGGAGGAAACCAGTCGATGTCTCTCTCTCACATTGATGTTTCTCTCTCTCTGTCTCTCCCCTTGCCTTCCACTCTCTCTCTAAAAAAAAAAAAAAAAAATCAATGGAAAAAATATTGTTGGGTGAAGATTAAGCCCCCCCAAAAATGTGTATTATATATATGTAAAGATTGACTAAATATACTGATATTTGAAAGAAACACTGCAAGATAGTAACTACAGTATGATCTTGTATTTTTAAAAAGATACTAGTAGAAAGTGCACAAAAGTGAGCACAGATGAGACTTTTCAAAAGGAGAAAGGGAATGAAAGGCATTTAATAGCCTTTGGCTTATTATTATTTCATTCCCAGTCCTTGGACAAGCCTGACTCTTCAAGGGAAGCTGGCTTTCCAGCTCCCCTCGCCTCGCCCTGTCAGTCCTAGGTCCCCATTTAAACAATTCCCGCTGCCTTCACAGGCTCTTTCCTCATTTTCTCCTTAGTTCACTGACACCCGGTCAGTTCTCGATTCTGTATTCTATCAAACTGCGTATCTTTCCTGTCTCCATTCTGAGCAATACTGGACAGACAAGGGAACAGAAACACACGCACAGACACACACATGCACACACACACAAGTAACCTGTGTAGATAACAAATTTACATTTACTAATCTCAGCGAAGTAACCCTACAGCCTATCACATTCTCCATAAGGTACACGGAAGCCCCCTACCCTGCCCACACGTAGAACACAGTGTTGAAGAACAGCTCTTCATGGTCCCACAAGCTCCTCTTTTATATCTCAGAATCTCTGCCCTTTGTTTCTGTCTGGAGAAATGTCTCTTACCTCCCTGCCACAGCTAAGAACATCTCTGATATCCCATTCCTTATATTTTTACCAGACCTTGTTCCACGTGCTAACGTCTATTACTTGCATATTAAAGTTCTCCTGCACAGCCTTTTATCTCTAAGTCTACAGAAATAATCAAATTGCTCCCCTCTTAAAAAGAGAAAGAAAAGAAAGGGGGGG